TGGCACTCCACCCCGGTCAAGGGCCACTTGGTACCTCCACCCGGTCAAGGTCACTTGGTACTCCACCCTGTCATCAAGGTCACTTGGTACCTCCACCCCGGTCAACAAGGTCATCACGGTACCTCCACCCCGGTCAAGGTCACTTGGTACCTCCACCCCGGTCAGTGCATTGGTACCCACTGGTCACGGTACCACTTGGCACCTCCACCCCGGTCAAGGTCACTTTGGTACCCACCCCGGTCAAGGTCACTTGGTACCTCCACCACGGTCAAGGCCACTTGGGACCACCACGGCTCGGCGCCATTAATTTAACCCCGGCTCATGTCACTAGACCACCCGTCAAGGCCACTTAACCTACCGGTCAAGGCCACTTGGCACCTCCACCCGGTCAAGGCCACTTGGCAACTTCCACCGGTCAAGGCCACTTGGCACCTCCACCCCGGTCACTTGGCACCTCCACCCCGGTCAAGGCCACTTGGCACCTCCACCGGTCAAGGTCAATGGCACCTCCACCCACTTGGCACCTCCACCCCCGGTCAGGTTCACTTGGCACCGGTCAAGGTTCCACTTGCACCCCACCCCGGTCAGGGTTCACTTGGCACCTCCACCCCGGTCAAGGTTCACTTGGCACCTCCACCCCGGTCAAGGTTCATTGGCACCTCCACCCCGGTCAAGGTTCACTTGGCACCTCCACCCTGGCTCACTGGCAAGGTTCACTTTGGGCACCTCCACCCCGGTCAAGGTTCACTTGGCACCTCCACCCCGGTCAAGGTTCACTTGGCACCTCCACCCCGGTTCACTTAAGTACCTCCACCCCGGTCAAGCAAGGTTCACTTGGCACCTCCACCCCGGTCAAGGTTCACGGCACCTCCACCCCCGGCACCTCCACCTCCACCCCCGGTCAAGGTTCACTGGCACCTCCACCCCGGTCAAGGTTCACTTGGCACCTCCACCCTGGTCAAGGTTCACTTGGCACCTCCACCCCGTCAAGGTCACTTGGCACCTCCACCCCGGTCAGGTCACTTGGCACCTCCACCCCGGTCAAGGTTCACTGGCACCTCCACTCCCGGTCACTTTCACTTCTGGCACCTCCACCCCGGTCAAGGTCACTTGGCACCTCCACCCCGGTCAAGGTCACTTGGCACCTCCACCAGAAGGTCATCTTGGCACCTCCACCCGGTCAAGGTCACTTGGCACCTCCACCCCGGTCAAGGTCACTTAGCACCCCAGGTCAAGGTCATCACTTGGCACTTCCACCCCGTCAAGGTCACTACTCACCCCGGTCACCTCCACCCCGGTCAAGGTCACTTAAGGTCACTTTGGCACCCACCCCGGTCACCTCCACCCCGGTACCCTCCAATTCCCCGGTCAAGGTCACTTGGTCACACTTGGCACCTCCACCCCGGTCACCTCCACCGGTCAAGGCTCTGGCACCTCCACCCCGGTCAAGGTCACGGCACCTCCACCCCGGTCAAGGTCAACAAGGTCACTTGCACCCACCCTTGTCAAGTCAAGGTCACTTGGCCCCACCCCGGTCAAGGTCACTTGGCACCTCCCACCCCGGTCATCAATAACCTCCACCCCGGTCAAGGTCACTTGGCACCTCCACCTGGTCAAGTCAGGCACCTCAGGTCACTCCTGGTCAGGTCACTTGGCACCTCCACCCGTCAAGGCTCACGGCACCTCCACCCCGGTCAAGGTCACTTGCACCTCCACCCCCAGGTCACTGGGTCACCCCAGTCAAGGTCCTTGCACCTCCACCCGGTCAAGGCTTCCACCCCGTCAAGGTCACTTTGGTCATGTCCGGCACCTCCACCCAGGTCCAAGGTCACTTCTGCGCCACTCCACCGGTCAAGGTCACGGCACCTCCACCCCGGTCAAGGTCACTTGGCACCTCCACCCCGGTCAAGGCACCTCCACCCCGGTCAAGGTCATAGCACCTCCACCCCAGTCAAGGTCACTTCACCCAGTCAGGTCAATCACCCCAGGTCACTTGGCACCTCCACCCTCCACCATGGTCACTTGGCACCTCCACCCCAGTCAAGGTCACTTGGCACCCCACCACGTCAGGTCAAGGGTCACCCTCCACCCCCAAGGTCACTTGGCGCCTCCACAGGTCCTTTGGTTCCCACCCCGTCAAGGTCCTTTGGCACCTCCACCCCGTCAGGTGGCACCTCCACCCAGTCAAGGTCGCTTGCACCTCCACCCCGGTCAAGGTCCTTGGCACCTCCACCCAGGTCAGGTCAGGCCCACTTGGGACCTCCACCACTCCACGGTCAAGGCCACTTGGGACCTCCACCCCGGTCAAGGCCACTTGGGACCTCCACCCCAGTCAAGGCCACTTGGGACCTCCACCCGGTCGTCACCCGGGACCTCCACCCCAGTCCACCCGGTCAAGCCATTCCACCCCGGTCAAGGTCCACTTGGCACCTCCACCACGGGTCAAGGTCATGGGACCTCCACCCCGGTCAAGGCCACTTGGGACCTCCACCCCAGTCAGGTCCTTGGCACCTCCACCGGTCAAGGTCACTGGCTCCACCACGTCAAGGTCACTTGGCACCTCCACCACGGTCAGGTGGCACCTCCACCACGGTCAAGGCCCTTGGCACCTCCACCCCAGTCAAGGCCACTTGGGACCTCCACCCCAGTCAAGGTCACTTCCAAGTCAAGGACTTGGGACCTCCACCCGGTCAAGGCCACTTGGGACCTCCACCACACCTCCACCCCGGTCAAGGCCACTTGGGACCTCCACAGTCAAGGCCACTTGGGACCTCCACCCCGGTCAAGGCCACTTGGGACCTCCACCCAGTCAGGCCCAGGGACCTCCACCAGTCCAAGGGGACCTCCACCTCAGGTCATGGGACCTCCACCCAGTCAAGGTCACTTGGGACCTCTCCACAGTCACCTCAAGGCCACTTGGGACCTCCACGGTCAAGGTCATGGCACCTCCACCACGTCAAGGCCACTTGGCACCAACACCACGGTCAAAGGCCACTTGGCACCTCCACACTTGGTACCTCCACCACGGTCAAGGCCACTTGGCACCTCCACCACGGTCAAGGTCACTTGGTACCTCCACCACGGTCAAGGCCACTTGGCACCTCCACCACGGTCAAGGTCACTTGGCACCTCCACCACGGTCAAGGTCATTACATCTGGCGTGGTCATGGTTACTGTACTTCTTAAGGACACGGTGCTTTCATTGTTATAAAAAACACTGTACTGAGTACTCCCAAATTCTTGCCAACGTCACTGTACCCTACAGTGTCGCCAAGTTCACTGTACCCCACAGTGTTGCCAAGGTCACTGTACCCCACGGTGTTGCCAAGGTCCCTGTACCCCACAGTGTTGCCAAGGTCATTGTATTCCCCAGTGATGCCAAGGTCACTGTACCCCCCCAGTGTGGCCAAGGTCGCTGTAACCCACAGTGTTGCCAAGGTCATTGTATTCTAGTGTTGCCAGGTCACTGTACCCCAGTGTGGCCAAGGTCGCTGTAACCCACAGTGTTGCCAGGTCATTGTATTCCCCAGTGTTGCCAAGGTCACTGTACCCCAGTGTTGCCAAGTCCCTGTACCCCCGTGTTGCCAGGTCATTTTACTTGTAAGGTCACTGTACCCACAGTGTTGCCAAGGTCACTGTGTACCCCAGTGTTGCCAAGGTCGTTGTACTCCCACAATGTTGCAAGGTCACTGTACTACAGTGTTGCCAAGGTCACTGTACCTAGTGTTGCCACATAATTGCGTACCAATGTTGCCAAGGTCACAGTACCCCACAGTGTTGCCAGTTGCGCTGTGCCCCCAATGTTGCCCAAGGTCATTGTACTCCCACAGTGTTGCTGTCCTGTACCCCACAGTGTTCCCAAGGTCACTGTACCCCCAGTGTTGCCAGGTCGCTGTGCCCCAGTTTACCCTAGGTCACTGTCCCCCAGTGTTGTAAGGTCCCTGTACCCCAGTGTTGCCAAGTCTCTGTACCCCACAATTGGCCAAGGTCCCTGTACCCCACAGTGTTGCCAAAGTCGTTGTACTCCCACAGTGTTGCCAAGGTCGTTGTACTCCCACAGTGTTGCCAAAGGTCTGCAGTACCCCGCAGTGTTGCCAAGGTCGCTGTCGCTGTACCCCAGTGTTGCCAAGGTCTCTCTACCCCACAGTGTTGCCAAGGTCCCTGTACCCCAGTGTTACCAAGGTCTCCGTACCCCACAGTGTTGCCAAGGTCCCTGTATCCCAGTGTTGCCAAGGTCATTGTACTCCCACAGTGTTGCCAAGGTCACTGTACCCCACATTGTTGACAAAGTCAATTTTCTTCAATGCTGCCAGTCACTGTACCTCCAGTGGTGTCAATGTTACTACCTCCAGTGTTGTCAACATTATGCTGTACCTCCAGTGGTGTCAATGTTACGCTGTACCTCCAGTGTTGTCAACGCTACGCTGTACCTCCAGTGGTGTCAATGTTACTACCTCCAGTGTTGTCAACATTATGCTGTACCTCCAGTGGTGTCAATGTTACTACCTCCAGTGTTGTCAACATTACGCTGTACCTCCAGTGTTGTCAACATTACACTGTACCTCCAGTGGTGTCAATGTTACTACCTCCAGTGTTGTCAACATTACGCTGTACCTCCAGTGTTGTCAATGTTACGCTGTACCTCCAGTGTTGTCAATGTTATGCTGTACCTCCAGTGGTGTCAATGTTACTACCTCCAGTGTTGTCAACGTTACGCTGTACCTCCAGTGTTGTCAATGTTACGCTGTACCTCCAGTGTTGTCAACGCTACGCTGTACCTCCAGTGGTGTCAATGTTACTACCTCCAGTGGTGTCAATGCTATTCAGTACTTCCTGTGTTGCCATGTTACTCTGTACCTTCAGTTATGTCAGTCACTATATTCAACAGTATCAAGGTCACTGCCCTTCCAATGTTACTGTGTATGTAATACGTGCCGACTCCTTACATCAGAGCGCCATCAACCACCCACACACACACTGCCCAAGTTAACTACACTCACCACGTCAATCTCGATCTCCTGGATCTGGAAGCGGAGGATGATGGTCCAGATGAGACCGAGGATGAGGCGCGGGTTGCCGTCCACAATGTCCTCGGCGCCGATACTCTCCAGTCGTACCTGTCAACCAAAACACTCATCAATTACATTGCACCTGATGGCCTTAGGCTAACCCTTGCAGGGGAGGGGAGGGGGGGGTACATTTCACAATACGGCGAGAGATTAAGTTTCAGGGAAATGGTGGGTATGAGTTAAGTTGGAAATGACAGGTCAAGTTTCGGGGTATTGGGTCAAATTGGGGATGGCTTGTCCTTAAAAGGTCACGCTGGAGATACTTGTGACGTTATGACTGAATCAAGCCGGGGTGAAAGCTCAAGCTTGGGCATGACAGGTTAAACTGGGTAAGGAGTGGGTCGAGAAGGAAAGATACTGGGGCAGGGAGACGAGAGTAGTTAAATGTGGGGAGAACACCCTGTTCAGTTACCCTCCTCTCCAGAAATTAAAAGTAACTATGTTAAGAATACTCCCTAACTTTTGTTTTGTTCTTGCATATACTGTACGAGTATGAGGTAGAAAAGGGGAAACGCACTTAATGTGACGTTGACCAGGTGTGTACCACAGACCTTAAGTTATATACCGAACAAACTGATTGAGGACAGGCATCATGTTCCCCTACGTGCCTTCAGTCTGGATAATCGTTCACCAGTTAGGTTTTTAAGTCGAGACGGTAACGATATGGTTGGCCTACTATACTGGTCACTCCGGATATATATATCAATCATACATTGCCTCCTTAAAAGGGAATTTGAAACAGACTGATGGATATAGTCTAATACGATAACCACTATGTTACCGTACCACCCTCACAGACATAAATAAATAAATAAATAGAAAGGAAATATTTGCAAAATTCGACCAAAGAAAGATACATTTACCCGAGTCGTAACACAGCAGCCGATGTGCTAGGCTTGAGATACGAGGAGCTCGGACATCATAAAAAAAAAAAAATGGAGTAATAAGCAGCAGTGTGTTGCTTCTTGGTTCATCTACATCAGAACCAGTCGTGGTGTGTGTGAGGCCCCCTATCACCATACACTACTACAATAGTGTTGCTAATCCATACTCCAGTCTTCATCGGTCAATACTACCCTCTTCACTATACAACTGTATTACGTACACTAGGCAGGATATGTACGTCATCCTTGACTACTCTGGCAGAGAAGAGGTTTAGTGTACCAGCGGCTACTTGCACATGTAAGATGCCAGTTTTGTTACACACTGACGGGGTCCACCAGGTTGACGTCACCGAATAGGGCGAGAGCTGTTGACCCCAGGGGCTAGCGCGGTCTATAGCTGTGACCGTGTATTAAGCAACTAGACGACTGGCGCAGTAAGTACTCAAGTGCCTGAAGGGTCATGGATATTGTCGGCAAATTACCTATTGTGACAGAAGGACGAGTGTGGTGTGGTGGAGGAGGAGGGGGGGGGGGGATTCCCGATACAATTTATCTGTTCATGGCAAAGCGTGGCACGTCCCTAATAAGTCAAGTGCCAGGCCTGTCTCTGGGAGAAGGAATAATTGGTCAGGACGACCTGTGCTGTGGAAGGATAGGATCCCTGCGCGGCCTTACGGTCATGACCCGCTTAACCTGCGACCGCCCTTGTTATGTGGCTGGTCCTTAAGCAGCCACTGCCGAGGGGTAAGGTTAATGTATAATGGCTAAAATAGCTGATGAGCATGTGTTCGCTCTCGATATGGAGAGGGGGGTGCGGTCATCGTGGAGAAGTGGGTGTGGCATCTCTTCCGCTCAAACTTAACCAACGGAAGTAACTGGCGGTTTAACCGACCCCCTCTGGTAATCTTTCATTACTGAGGTATTTCAACTTTAACATTATAATGAAATCTTCATTAAGGAATATTTCAATAAATTACTTGTTTTTTTTTATACTAAATTAATTTTCAATGCGGTACATTTTCCGATGAGCTTTATCTTGCCAAACTTCAATAAATACGTAAGTCGTGTCCTTTGTACCGAATCTCCCAGCACAACCAGAGGCGGATCCAGGAATATAAAAAAAGGGGGGGTCCAATAAATTGTGGATGGGGAACATGGTGAGCATAGCGAGACCACCCAGCAGGGGGATTTGGGTGGGGGGGGGGGGCAAGCCCCCCCCTCTTTTTTTTTTAAATCTGACCAATATCATGGGCATTTTGAGGCCACTTTGAAGCCATGTGTACTTAATATTAGGAGATATTCTAATGTCAATAATAATTATTTTTTATTAAACAATAAAGCCCGAGTACAATATTGCATTTAAGAAAACGTATCGGAATTTTCTGTTAAAAAGGGGGGTTCGGACCCCCCAGGACTCCACCCTGGATCCACCCCTGATAAACCTTTTGAAGTGAAATAGAAACTTTGAAAGAGATCTAACGAAACAATAACTCCGGAACATCATCACAAAGAAGAATAACTAGAGGCAAAAACACTTGGTTGCAAAATAAGGGACCCGACCTTCAGATACAAGAGGGGCGAAGAGTATGTAAATTACATGTTGTTCTCTGTGTCACGGAGCCAAATACTCACACCACCATGGATACCTGCGGCCACTACGCCCTCAACAACTGTCACAAGAACCTGTTTTATGCACTATGAACAAATACATATTGAAACGCTACCTACAACACCAGCTGTGACTCGTACTCCACCTCAAGGCACTTGTTTACGTAACGCAGGCCGCCGGCTGTGTCCCCGACTACCACTCTCTTTAATACTGGTTGGTGAGGCCACCATGTTGTGGTCGTGATCCTGGCCAGTTATGGATCAAAACAAAATATACACTCACCTTATTTCAACAATCTCATACTAATACCAACTCAGGGCAGAGCTTTCTTAATAAATCAACCACAGGTTCGAGGAAAATGTATAATATACATCTACAATTACTTATTCACCCTCACCAATTTCAGTCTGACACCCAATGGCAAAATACAGCTATAATTCAAAATTCTACGATAAACGATTTTTTTTCCTTAGAGAAAATTCAACAAGTGTGGAACTGGTGAGGGGCGACCATCCCAGCACGAACTCGTCCCCTGCGCAACAGAAAGGGTCGGCCGAACACCTCATAATTCATGGGGTGTTGCACGCCCGTTAACTATCTGCCCTCTCAACGGTCACGTTCTCCCTAGTGAAAGTCTTTAGCCTGTTGTATAATCCTCATTTTATATATCCATATTTATATTTCGTATAATCATAATTGAAAAAAACTGTACTGTACTATCAATTTATTTATATCATTCATTTACTCTTCCAGACTTGTATATCGTAACATTCATACACAGTAAAATGTCTTCCCTGAGCGACAATGAAAACCCCTGACTACTATCCTGTAACAACTGGGGTTTATTTGTCCCTTTATTTTCTCTATTTATTCCTCTGCTTTCTTTTTTTTTTTTCATATTTGTCTAATTCTTACTCTTAAATATATTTATTTCGTACAGAGAGTGATGAATGCGTGAGGGAGGAGGAGGTGGTAATGAAGGCATGTTGGGTTACAAGTTACAAGGCGAGCGAGAGAGAGAGAGAGAGAGAGAGAGAAGAGAGAGAGAGAGAGAGAGAGAGACAGAGACAGAGAGAGAGAGAGAGAGAGAGAGAGAGAGAGAGAGACAGAGAGAGATAGAGAGAGAGAGACAGAGAGAGAGAGAGAGGAGGAGAGAGGAGAGAGACAGAGAGAGAGAGAGAGACAGAGAGAGAGAGAGAGACAGAGAGAGCGACAGAGAGAGAGAGAGAGAGGAGAGAGAGAGAGAGAGAGAGAGAGAGAGAGAGACAGAAAGAGAGAGAGAGACAGAGAGGAGAGAGAGACAGAGAGAGACAGAGACAGAGAAGAAAGAGACAGAGACAGAGAGAGAGACAGAGAGAGAGAGAGGAGAGGAGAGGAGAGACAGAGACAGAGACAGAGACAGACAGAGACAGAGACAGACCCAGACACAGACACAGACAGAGAGGAGAGAGAGAGAGAGAGAGAGAGAGGGAGAGAGAGAGAGAGAGAGAGAGACAGAGAGAGAGACAGAGAGAGAGAGAGAGACAGAGACAGAGAGACAGAGAGACAGAGACAGAGAGACAGAGACAGAGAGACAGAGACAGAGAGAGAGAGAGAGAGAGAGAGGACGATGACAATGTAGGTACATGTATATCATGCACTAAGGGACAACACACCTATCACATACTGTATTAGGTGATAGGTGTGTTGTTGCTCATGGCTCACTACATTACACATTTACGAAGATTTCAACTCGGAACAAAGGGGAGGATTAACTGATGGCGCTTATATCGGTTTCTGTATTTATTTACGTCCTTAAGGTGGCAGTCACAGTTTCAAAAGAATCTAAACCCCTAGCTAGCTTCACAAAATAACATCATGTAAAGGGAGTTTACCACAGGGTACACTTACTGTACTTACACCTCGCCATGTTAAATCCACCCACCCACACATGTCTGTACTGTTCCACTCTCCAACGAAGTCTCTGGTGATTTGAACATGGGCGCACTTGTCACTGGGTAGAGTGATGCTAAGTTTAAGCCAATCAGTTAGCTGTGCCTATGACGTCACACACACACATATACATATATATATATATATATATATATATATATATATATATATATATATATATATATATAACAGTTTCCTCTTCCCAGTCAGTCAATTTTTTTTTTTTTTACAGATTGCCCCGGAGGGGGCTAATTTATTGGGCACCCCCTTACATCCTGTGCAAGGTGAAGCGCAGAAGCGTTTACAGTGCCCAACTGGGAAGCATGTGGAGTTCATGCTTGCCTTTTTGACTCCTGCATTAAGGGCGTGGAAGCCTGAAGAGCCATGGGTTTTGTCAGCAAGTTACATAAAGTGACAGAATGATGAGTGTGTGGGGGGAAAGGCTCTTGGAGTGAGATTGAGTTGATGTCGCCTCTTTCTTCTTACGACTTCCTCCCTCCTATGCCTGTCTACTGTGATGGGTCTGTCACCACGCTGGGCTGCGCTGGGGCAGCTGTATGGATTCCTGAGCGCCAGGCCCGCAAGAAAATCAGGGTCCACGACTGGGCCTCCTTCACTGACAC